TTACCTAAATATGTAAACTTCAAGCTTCAGGATAACTGATATAAATTTTGGAAGTGCAGCATGATAAACTTATTTTTATTCATTCATTATTTTGACAATTTATCTGATATTTACCTTTACTGCATATCCAGTTTGAATTGTTTAATTTCCATTAGTTTAACAAGATTCTTACTGCTAAACAATCATAAAACAAAGATTAGATCTATCACTTGAAGTCCATAGGATTTGTAAAAATCATACTGAATAAATTCATCTGTACTTCTAGCAAAGCATCTACATGTCTTGTAGATTAGGTTATTTTCATCAACAAGATACTGATCAAATAATGTGCGAGGTAACTGCTTCAGCTGTATAAACGCAGAGGATGTAATCTACGGAGCAAGAACATATACGTAACTTTCAAGTGAGCACGACAGTGAGTTCTCTATTAGCAGAACTGACATTTCCAAAGGTTTTCTTTGACTGACCACGTCTGTCATCAGTGGAAAGAAAAGAATATGTCTGTTATGTGGAGAAACTGTGACCAAATATTGCTGGTTTTCGATTCAAGAAAAAAAGATGAAACATCAGGATTTTTAACCTACAAGAGAAATGAAACTGTCGCAATTGACTAAATCTTTCAATAACAGTTAAATCAGGACTCTTGTTTCATTTTGAGTGAGGACATTTTGATAAGGATGTCTCACAAGAGATTAATTATTAAGTTAAGCTTGTGAAATTGGTGAAAACTTAGAAAATAAATGGCATACTTTCTTTGTGCTATACAATAAATCTGTAAATAAAGAGTATTCATCCATTTGGGAGAATGTGGTTAGTGGGGATATTTACAGATTTATTTAGGATTTTTGTTGTTTATGTGATGTAGATAGCTTCTTGGACAGTAATATTTTAATATCTGCTAATTATACTAAATGCTTGGGAAAGCTGATTCTGTTAAGAATGCTTTTATTCAAATTGATCTTAACTGTAGAGCTGGGTGATTAGTGGAACTCGCTTTTCAATTAATCATTGGACTCGTTAATCGATTACGTTCAACTAATCTAACACTAACAATAAACACACATATTGCCAATCTTTTGATTACTTGAATGGTTAGAATAATCAAAAAAGTGGAAATCCTAATTTCAATTATTTTCGTGACATTAATCGATTTAATTATCATTTTGATAAATCGATTGGCAGAATCATCAGATAAACAAAGTTTTAAATAGTTAATCATTTTCCTGATATTAGTAAGTTGTATTTATTAAATACAAGTTGAAGTACACATCCTTTGTCCAGGTTATGAACTTATAACAATGTGGGGGGGGGGGGTGGATGTTATGATAAGTAACACAAAAATCCTAACTTTCACACAAACATATTATTACAGTATTTATTATTACCTCACCAAAGGTCTTGTATAAGCTTTAAGAACTCAGTATGTATATACTTAAAAACATGGTATACACCGTGTGATGGTCAGGGTAACTTTGTAGGAAAAGGTAGCGGCCAAAGAAGTGGTGGTAGGGGTGCTTTTTGTTACCCACTTTCAAGACCCAGCTCTTAATGTCCTTCCACACTATTTCACACGATTACTTGATGATCATTGGCTGATGAAGTGTCTTACGGGCTGATTTTTAAATGTCACGGATCAATGTAAGAAGTGGGTATAACTCAAGAAATGGATATTTATGGTGGCTTTTGGAGTAGAAACTTCAGCTGATTTTATATAGTACTGAAATTGTGGTGGCCATTTTTTTTCTTGGATTCCTCCATAAAGAGTACTAGTACACTCTCTGAGATATACGAGACGTTTGTGTGCCCTTTCCCACACTTTTTTTTGTGTATGGATATGGCGCCATCTATGAATGTAGTTAACTTACGTCAAAAATAATGGAGGTGGAGAATAATTAGATAGTTGGTTTAAATTTTGCTGGACATGTGTGAGGATACTAAAACTACATTCAATTTGATATTGATGCTGTGGGTGGCCTTTTTATCACCCAGATTCTTTTTCTTAATAAAAAAATTACAAAACAAAGTTTAGACCTAAATTGAAGCAAGCTTATTTTTTTTATTTGGGAATACTAGGCCACCAAGAGCTGATTTGGACCTCAACCTTGACCTTTTATATGTCCCTTTCTACTGTTCTGGTACTGGACCATTTGGGCCTATTTTTGTAGGCCCCTAGGTTTATCTAGGCTTTGGGTAACTTTATTCCCCCTTCGTAGTCCAGTTGAATACTGTTTTGATTAATTTCTAGATGTTTCAAGTAGTGAAGCCGATAAAGAAAATGAGTGTGGTTATATGCCAGATCTGTTTAATGTTTAGATGAGGTAAAAAATACAAAAAAAGAGGTCTGTGACCTTATTATTTACAGAAACAATTAAAGGTTTGATAAAAAAAAAAAGAGCTTGCTTTTTAGGAAACTTTTATTTTTGCACGGAGCAGTTCAAGTTAATTTTTTTCTAACATTGAAACTTTATAAATGCTGACAGTTACCTCTCACAATAATATATTTTTATTATTTCTAGACCAACTAAACTGTGAAGAATTATTTAACATGTATAAGCTTCTATTTACTTGTACAACTGTTAATATGTTTGAACAGTTTACCAAATGAAGTGGAATGTGGGTGGGTCTTTATAACATTATTCTTGGATAAGTAGGCACAAAGATGTGAAATGTTACAGTTAATTTATATATAATTTCCTTTGTTGGAGGAGGGGCTTTGATAGCCTATCTATAGAGGTTAGTATGAGAGGTGGAATGGACGTAACTGTTCGATGTAATAAGTAAAAGCTTTGGGAATCATCACCTAAATTCTATTACAAGTTAAAACTTGTAGCATTATAACGTGGTTTATGATGAATGTTTCATCTATAGCAAGAAAGGCTTTAAGTTTTGGACGTAAAGCACAGATAAGTTTGAAATCACTTGATTCAAAACTGTCACATGTGTAAATAATCTTCCTAAGGATTATTTGATTAAACAGTGGAAAGAAAAGATCAGAACTACAAACTGGAAAATTAGGGTTAACAGGTTTGAGCTTTGAGTGATAGCGTAAGATTTTGGATATGAGGAAGATATAAGTCATCATCGTTACACTTCTTTTCACCATAAGTCATCGGTGAAAAGAAGTGTAACGATGATGACTTATGGTGAAAAGAACTGTAACAATGAGATTCAATTGTGATAAACATCATAAAATTACAGTGATTAAATGATATAACTCACTCTCTGGACTTCTTGCTACCATCGTAGAATCCTGTTGGCAAGTGTTGTATTAGTCCGATCCGTTGAGCTATTTTAATCTGCTCATCTTCTGTTAGCTGAGATGCTGGACGACTCACGTTAAGTGAAGGATAATAAACTGGGACAGAGACACTTTCCTGTGAGAATGATTGATTGAACATTACCATACATAAATAGAGACACTTTCCTGCGAGAATGGTTGATTGAACATTACTATACATAAATAGAAACACTTAATATATTTTTTGAATGAAAATGGATCTTTTAGGTTTAAGAATAGGAATTATTCCTAATTGTATGAGATAACATTCCCGTGACTTTATTTTTTTTAAACAGCACATCAAAATAAGCCAAAATGTGGTATATTTAATTTTCTTTTCATTCTTAAGCATTATGATATTGAAAGGAAAAAAAATTAACTTTTGTAGTTCTACTTTCTACTGAAACATAATATAAAAGTTATAAACACTTAAACTTCAACAAAAATTTTTAATAACTTCTGGGTTTTTTTCCTTTTAAATTTTCTGAGATGAAATTACTTCACAAAGAAAAATAAACTTTTCATACCATTTTTTAAACATAAATGCCTTACAATGTTTTATATGCTCTATCAAACTGATTTATTTATACATACAATAACTCACCTGATAAGATGGAGGAAGGTCGACATGATCTGTGGATGAATCTCTTGTACTACTGCTATTGTTTTCCCTCAATAAGGAGATATCGTCTGAACCAAATGACTTGAAACAGTTACCCATTTTTGTAATTATTTAAAAAAGCTTAAATATATTTTGATATCGGGTAAATCAACAGGCCTCTTTTTGTCCTTAAATGTTATGTTATACAATGATTTCTTTTTTGTTCGAAAATTTGACTCAGATGTATAATGTAGGCCTAATTCTCACTTTCAATAAGCTTGAAAAACTGTGTTATGTCTTGAAAAGTCAAATCATACTTTTAAATTTTTCTGTAACTCAGTGTAAGAGTGTATTCACACATCAGTTATTATAACTTTAAGATATTCTTGGTCAAATTTTGTTGTTTATTTTAATCACTGATATTATACAACTGTCAGTTCCTAAAATCCAATTCTAGCTGAAGGTCAGAAAACGTTGAACTTGAAGTGCACTTTGTCCTAGTAGTAGTAATAAGACTAAGAGTAGGCCTGTTAGTGTTATTATTGTCACTTTCAAAGAAACCTCCCACATTTGTTAAAAAAAACAAAAAACAACAAGTTATTTATGAATTCTTGCGATGTTTATAAATTAAATGCATGACCAGCTTTTACAGAGTTAGGCTTCGACAAATCCAAACACATCGAACGTGCAAAGGTGTCATCACGGATTAATTATACTGTCAATTTTCAAATTCGGTTAATCACTAAGCTTAACATAGTAACCCTAACGTCACGAGTTAGGTTATACTTACAAACATTTAAACTTTAATGTATGTAGAGCACTCTTAAAATGGCATTATTTTTTGTAGAGTATACTGTATAGCCCTATCATTGTATCGATGTACTTCACTAACTGTCGTGACATTACGACCGTTAATCTATGGCTCACTGAAATTGAAAAAGATAAGGTTAACTGTATAAATTAATGTATTGTTCTTAAGTTATACAAATGACTCTTAAATTTAAGCCTAACTGTTACAAACTATTTGACAATTAAGCATAAATCAGATACTTTAAGGCTTTCTTGTCTTCGTAAAGTTAACACTAATCATATAACTAAGTTTATTAACAATAACTCATTTCCCGCACATAGAGCTGAACAATAACATCGCTTTCCAGTTTCCGCTAGTAACAGCTGATTACTTTTGCCATCTGGTGGTTTTATATGGTACTAAATATAATTTCAATAAATTAAATATGTTTATTAATAATAGAAGTAACCGACCTTAAAAACAAACAAATTTAATTTCTGTAGTGGGACAGCGGTAAGTCAACGGATTTACAACGTTCAAATCAAGGGTTCGATTCCCCTCGGTGGACATGGCAGGCAGCCCGATGTGGCTTTGCTATAAGAAAAACACACAAACAAGCATATTGGTGTATAGAAGACATATTAATAAACACAGTAATACCAAAAAAACATCTTTAATACGAACGTTTCGGAATTTTCTTAAATTCCATCGCCAGCGTTGATATCTCAAAAAAAGTTAGTTCATAATATTCTAACTACAAAAACAACATTAGCGTTGGGCGATGTTTCGTATTCAATCGGAAGTTTAGAAAGAACAGATTTAAACGGTAACAATATAATGGAATGTACGATGAAACATGCGGAATACACGTTTAATAAATAACATTGTTAAGAGAAAACATTATGGTATCTTCAAAAATGGTAATAAATATCAAATATTAACACTGAGAACCCGGAATTGATCACATTAATGACAACAGGGAGAAGTTGATGTTATTCTTTAGTGTTGGGTGATCACTGAAAATGGAAAGGCTTTCTTTAATAAAGAGTTCGTAATCTGTGGTTCCAGAGTCGAGACTTTTATACTTGTTATTATCACTGTGTAATCTGATACAAGAATCGGGTGGATTAGTTAGCTTACATCCGCTTCTTGCTGAAATTCCCATGTGCTCGTGCGCACCTATTTGTAGGTGACGTATAGTTTTACCAGCTTTACAGCTACCACAAGTGTTGTTATATATGATCCACGAGCGCCTAGAAATGGCTAACTTCACCGGGCACTGACTGGCAATCATTAAGCGCCAGTTAGTGAAAGTGTGTTTTCATGGGGTTCTCTTCTCCCCCACCCCCCAACACATACCTAATTCTAGGCATTGGATCGTAAGTCCTACATCGGCCGTTGGTTTTATTCCCATGTAATTTTAAATCATGAGCAAACCATAACTTTGATTGATAAAACGCACGTGTAAAAAGCACCGAATAACAGAATAGAAGAACAGGTGAAATAACTCTCATCACGAACAGTGAATAACTTATTGATAATGAACTAATTCAATGACTTGATTATTACTTATATTAACATCATAATCTTATTTCTACATAACCCAAAGGTCTGGTATGAGCTAATGACTAAGGCACTCAACTTGTAATCCGAAGGTCCCTGAATATCCTCACCTTAATACGTGATGGTTAAACCCACTGTTCTTTAGTAAAGAGTAGCTCAATAGTTGGCAATGGGTAATGTTAATTAGTTGTCTTCCCTCTTGTCTATCACTTCAAAATTAGGGATGGCTAGCGCAGATAGCCCTGAGTAGCATTGCACGGAATTTAAAACAAACATAGTACGGGAAGTTTCTCGATTCTTAACTATCATGAACTTTCTAGATTTTGACATCATCGTAATGATGAATTTATCTAACAAACGTTTAAATAAAAACATTAAAATGATAGCTTACAACAATAACTATATAGTATTGATTATTGAAGTTGCACAATTCATGGAATTAATTTTTATGTTCTGTTGAAATAGGAGCAGCAAAGATATTGTTGTAGCATTTTTTTATCATCGACAGTTTATTTTATATTGTTCTGTGAAAATAATCCAAAATCCAGTCCACGTAAGTTATAAGGAATTATTTTATTTTCTCCTTTATTGTTCCTACAAATCTGAACACTTGTACACTGTCGTAAACTGTTATAGACCTACGTTGCAAATGAAGTTGAAACAATACTAGGACTAATGTAAAATCAATTCAAATTACTTGCACAAAGTAACTCAATAACCACAATAGCTGATACATCGACTAATTCACCATATCTTGAATAAACTCTCTATCTTCAAATAACTATTATCTTAATTATATCCTTGACTATCTGTCAACTCACTAACTAACTAACCTCGTGATGCCTCATGGACATCATGTCTATAATTTACAGTTGTTCCAGATATTTATAGGACTTACTTGATCTTAACGTCATGTGTTCTGTAGCTAACATCTAAATTAAATAAATCAAATCATTGTAAATATAGCTTATAACGATATTAATTTTAGATTAAGGTGTTAAATTAATTAGATGTAAGATATTGTGTTGCGTTCTAGTATTTAGTTAGAAGACATTTACAATGATTTCAGCCATAATTCTTGAAGTTATGCATTGATCGTTTCTGAATGTAAGAAAACCAGTAAAGAGTTAAACATTTATCTTCACAGACTTGACAAGCTAAATTTCTTTCAAAAATATAAATGTTACATCTAGTTAGTAAAAAGCCTATTTATGTCACCTGCATGTTGAAACTGTGAACAAAGCAGGTTAATCCCCAGCCTTAGCAATCTAAAGAATCAACAAGGAAACAGTAGTATCATGCATATACACTTAGTTACAAGTGTGAAATTATACATCTTCTCATAGGTTTAGACGATTCTCAACCACTGGTCCATGGACAAATGCTGGTCCACCACAATTCCCTTGCTGGCCCAAGAGGTTTCAAGGAAACAAACAAACAAAAAAAAACTGACAGAACATTCATATGTAAATCATAATGGTTTTTAGTTGTACTTGTATTTTAGTGGTTTGCTACAATTTAGGGAAGCAGCAAGCCAGTCCCTCGTATTAAGAAGGTTGTAAAACGCTTAGATGAACTATTCAAACCACAGTTTAAAGCTATTTTTTTATTTCCAGAAGTTAAAGTTAAGTACAAAAGTAGAGTTTTATCTAAGATATTGTTACGACAACGCAGGTCACGTGACGCTTGTATCACGCCACTTCCTTCTCGAACCTTCATGAAATGTCGGGAGACTACTAGATTGGGGTAGTCTTGTATATATAAGGCCGGCCAAGAAGCAACGTAAGGTAATGTGTAATTGAACTGCGGAGAGAGAATATTGTTGAGCACGTGAGACGTTCGTTGTGAATTATAGCGTTTGTTATAGCGCGACTGTTGAAATTAAGTGTATCGCAAAGTTATATTCAGAAAGAATAAACCAGTTTTATTTAAGAAAGGACTCGTATCGGTAAAGTTTCTTCGGTAAGAATTTTTACGGAAAGATTAACTAACGAACGGAGACGTAACAATATCAAAATGTGGTATTCACAAGTTAAGTTGATTTCCTCGAAGATTATGATATCGAATTTATCGAAACTGATTGAGTTGAAGAAAATGAATAGATTGGACACGATGTATAATAGAAAACGAAACTATATTTATGACAAATACGAAAACATTGTGTGCATAGTTGGTTTCAGGATGATGGATTTGTGAATTGATCAACTGGCTTTTTTCCATCAAGATGTTTTGTTGTCAAGCAACTCACTTGATATTCCATGTATTAATGGTTTAATTCACGTTTCTTACTTAATGGGAAACAACGGATTAACACATAGTGTCTAGTTATATTCACATGACTGGTCATTATTATCCAACGTAAGGGAGGCTGTAACCTCAAGATATCATCTGACCTACTAATAAAGGACATTACTTTCATCTGCAATCTGGCAGAGTATACTATGGTATAGCAATATCCTTCATGGGCAGAGCAGATATTTTATCTAGAGAACAACAAAGGAACAGGGGTAACAACAATGAAGTCAACTTAACATTTTTTCTAGACTAAGTGTTATGTTAAAACTGCATAGATTCCGAATAAATGAAAACTTTTGAAAAGTTTCGGTGTATGCAGCAGCCATTCCTGATAGTGCTGCTCACAGACGGATATCTGCTCTAATGTGCAACAGTTATTAGTCACCGTGTATGGTTTCTAGGGAGCTACACTCTCAGCTCTCTCTGAGCCTATTCCTTGGTGTAGCTTTGTTGGTGGTGCCTTGAGGGTTGTCAAGGTAGAGACCCTTTGCTTTGTCTACACTGTGTAGATGGTTGTGGGTTCTGTCTTTGATGTTAAAGCCTCCTCATTTACTGCATGGTCCTAGCATGATGATGGCAGCAGAGGAGATTACCCACAAACCAGTTGCCTCGTCTGCATTGCTGTTATGCTGGTGGTGACAAACGTGATGACTTCAACATAGGTGGTAAACACTTCAGCAGTTACTGGCATTGTTTGGGGACAAGTTCATCCAAAGGAACACAGGCAACTAGAACAAAGTCAACTTAATGGTTTTATAGACCATGTGTTTTGCAAAGACTGCAATTCAGAATAAACGAATTTTTTTGGAAAAAGTCTAAAATGTCTACATTGAAATAATAAGTTAGAAATGCATGGTATGTCTGTGTATTTGCATAAATATTTACTGGACATACTTCCTTTTCAAAATGAAGTACATAATACAAGTAGTGTTTAATTACATTACTGTATTAACTCTTTCTTTACGGACTACATTGCCTTAGAATATTACCCAGAAGGAAAGGGAACATATTTTATCTGTTTATGGTAAGTTTGATTTTTATAATTTCATATGAAAATATTATCTGCTCTTAAAGCTTTAACATAAATAGAACTGTGTTTTATATCTGTTACTACTCCAATAAGGGAACTTAGTATGCAGAGAATATATGGTATATTAGTATACTCATTACGGTATTAAAAGCTAAAACTCTGAAAAACACTTATTTCAAGATATCTACATTAAACTAAATGTAAAACCCTGAAAAAAAAAACACAGATTTTAATGAGATATCTAAATACAACTATAAAAGCTAAAAATAAACATAGAAAAACAGAATCCTTAATCACAAGTAACCTTATCAAAGATTTCCAGATATTTTCAGTCATTATATGTTATTGGTTTTGCATCCTATATTTGATAATTTATTATTTATTGTAATAAACTACAATAATCTCAAACCCACTTTATTCCCCTGTTGGGAAAGCAGTAAGTCTACAGACTTACAACACTAAAATCTGAGGT